CAAAACTATTTATTTTTCATATTTAAAAAAAAAAATCACTTAAAACCTTGCAGACAAGGCCGTACGAGACATCTCCTCTGCTAGTTGCTGCTCCAATCTTCTCTACTCTGCTCAAAACTCCAAGTGGTAGATCTAGTCCAAACACTGGCTCCTAGACAACAAATAAGGTTATTGAAGTCTTCAGTTTAGAAATTCTCTCCAACAGTCATACAGAAACAGCATGAGCGCATGGCTCTTACCCTGTCAGTGCACCTGAAGAAAAGTCTATAGTTAGTGACGGTCAGAGATCCTCTAACAGGCCCAATGAACGGACAAATATAAGTCACGTCTTTAGCTGTGGACACACACACAATAAACACATACTTTAAAACCATCAGAATAGATGATGTACAGAAGTCAATATAATATAATACCACAAATACCGGAATCCTGAACCAGTTCCTCTGGCAGAAGAGGAAGTTCGCCTTTACTGGTGTCTTTGTAGACCTGCACACAGAAGAACATGAGATCAATGCACAGGAACTGAGACTTGATCCAAGTTTTACACTCACATTTACACTGTAATACCTTTTCGATTGCCCTTCCTTTACTCTGTAAGGAAGAAAAAAAACAGATGGGGTTTAGTTATAAAAACAGTTCAGAACATACAAGTTTTAAGAACAGAATAAGAAGTGCTGGGTTGGACTTTGGTCCTGACTGACCCGTAGCTCTGTGTCTGAAACTCTGGTGCCACTTGAGCGGTCTGAACGCGTTGTGGTAGAGCTGAAAGGATATTAGAGGAAGAAGATGGATTAAAGCACACCTATGAGCTTTACGCATTAAAGAAACAGTTTTCTCAGAAATGAACATTCTGTCATCAATTACTGATCCTCATGTTGCTCCAAACCTGTATGTCTTTATTTCATCCATGGAACATATAGTACTACAGAATGTTAGAGACTGACAGCCACAGCCATCATTCACTATCATTACATCTGCTTTTCTTTACAGTAAAAATGAGTCGCGTCATTCTGCCTAACATCTCCTTTAATGTACTACACAATAATGAAAGAAAGTCAGTCATATGGGTTTGGAACAAAATAATGTTGAGTAAATAATGGCTATCCCGTCTGACAGAGAAATAATCATACATAGATTCAGCACTCCTCACAGAAAGCTTCAAAAATATTATATAAACGTCCGGGAACGTCTTTCATATAGCGCGTTTGCGAAAGTAAGTATTGTAAACATTCATTCAGTAATGCATATGCGTGAGAGAGTGTGTTTGTGTTTTCTTTTGGTACCTGCACAGCGACTCCACACTGTCCACACTGCCGCTCTTCTCCATCCCGAACCGGACCGAACCGCGCCACTTATAAAGTCGTGAAGTTAACTTAACGCTGTTAATTTAGTGACTGTTCTATGCGGAAACTCAGTGAACACAAACAGCGGAAGCTGCCATGTCTTCCCAGAATTCCTCTAGGTGGGGCTAATAGTGCGCGCTCGCTCATTGGGCGTTTGTTGCCGTGAGCATGTGGGGGCAGATTCTTCTTCTTCTTCTTCTTCTTCTTCTTTTGGTTTTATGGGCTCTCAAGGCCTATGGAGTTCCCTGGGCATCCCCTATTTCCTCTCATCCTATGTGGGATTGGATCGGACCACCCTCTGGTCAGCCATCTGTTTCTTTAATATATAGTAAACTTAATGAACACACTGCAAAGTCTCTTTCTATTAAATCTATCTGGAAAGTTAATTAACAGATCTTGACTTATCGGTCGACTGGGAGAGGGTGTGGTCTAATCTAATCTTAACTTCTAAAAACTTGGCTCGTCTTATCCATTTCAAAGTTATCCATAGAGCATACATAACTCCTTACAAGAGGTTTAAAATGAAACTGCAATCGACCTATAACTGTCATATCTGTAACACTGTATCAGCAGGTACTTTTCTCCACGTGTTTTGGGAATGTTCAATTGTTGTCAATCTATGGACTCATGTGAATTCTGTTTTGTTCCTTTTATTACAAATTGAAATTGTTGACGGTGTGTCTGTTGTTCCCCCTTCCCTATTGTTTGTTTGAGTGGATGTTGTTTTGTTGATTTGGAAAAATAAAAAGTTGATCACAAAAAAAATAAAATACATGTCGCCCAGAGCAAGCAGAGAAAGAAACTTACAGATATTCCTCTTCAAAACTCTCAAAAGCAAGGCTTGATGAAGATTATCCCAAAAAACACCCCATCTGAACGACACACACCAGCATGTGTTCTTCTTCTTCTTCTTCTTTTAGGATTTAATGGCGGTTGGCAAACCAACTTAAAAGGTGCATTCCCGCCACCTACTGGAAAGGAGTGTGAAGCGCACAATGAATAGGAACTTTAGAAACAAGAGCTACCTTATTAAAAAATAAAAATAAAATCAAAAATTATTAAATCAAAAATAAAAAAAACGGTATCCTAAATCCTATTAATCAATCCTGTTTCCTTTAAATAAATAGCTAATTCGCGATATATTCCTGATTGCTTACATCCATCGCCTAACAAAACCTGGAGTGACAGATCATTTATTTCCAGATACCTTAAAGCTTGACTTAGTTGGAAACGTTCTCTTTCATAAGCCTCACATTTTATAAGTACATGTTCTACAGTTTCTGTTGACCCACATTTGTCACAATTTCCATTTTCATCTTTTCCTATTCTATGTAAGCACTGATTTAATAAACAATGACCCAATACGCATTCTTGCAATTATAACGTCCTCTTTCCTGTTTCCAAATCTTCTTCTCTCTGAACCAACTTTTTCTTGTATGCAGTGTAAATGTCTACCTTTTGTTCCTTCTTTCCATTAATTCTGCCAGATTTCCTGTATTTCTTTCGCTATTATCGCTTTTATTTCTGTTTTACTTAATGCCACTTCAATGTTTATTTGTGAATGATTTAATGCCTGTTTAGCCAAATGATCAGCCTCCTCATTTCCTTTCACACCTATATGTGATGGTACCCACACGAAATTTACCAGAAGTCCATACTGTCTTATTCTAAAAGGACTCTGCATTACTTAATTTATCATGTCTTGTCTTGCTACTGATTTTCCACTTGACAAACTGTTTAGTGCTGAAAGAGAATCTGTGCATAGCACTGCCTTTGTTGGTTGTATTTCTTCTATCCACTGAAGTGCTTTCTAATACACTTGTTTCATTGTTATGTTTTTCTTTATGCAACTGGATATCAATCAAAGGCATTGGGAAAAGCCAAGGAGGAATTGCTGACCTAGCCACAGTAGGAGCAATATGTATATCACTTAAACCCATTTTATGTGCTTCCTCATTGGCCGTCCATCCAAAGCTTGATAACTTTTTGTAGTCATATTCCCAACAGTCCTTCAACACCATTTTGACTGGATGAACGTCCGAATGTCCTTTTATACTTATCCAGTACCTCATCCTTAACTTGAGCCTACGAATTTCTTGAGGCATCTCGCCCATCTCTACCTGAACTGCTGATAATGGGGACGATCTAAAAGCTCCGCAACAAATTCGCATTGCTTGTGATTGTATTGCCTCTAATTTTAAAAGTTGTGTTTTAGATGCAGAGCTATATACCATACTGCCATAATCAAGAGCCGATCTTATCAGAGCACAATATATTCTTTTAAGGGACTGTCTGCAAGCTCCCCAATCAACTCCTGCTAGACATCTCATTACATTTAACGCTTTTTTGCATTTGTCCATCAATTTCTGAATATGGATTTTCAAATTCAACTTCGAATCCATCCATATTCCTAGAAATCGAACAACTGACGTTTGCTCCAACTCTTGACCATACATTTTAATATTAACTGTAGGATTAATTAATATTAAAGGATGTTGGGATTAGGGTTAATAAAAATTAATGAATGAAATGCCTTTTATTTTGATTAAATATGAATGTTAAAAGCTTGATATTAATACAGAATTGGTCCAAAATTCTTTAAAAAATGTATATGTGTTAGCTGATAGATATAACACTGACGAAATTCACTTTTAACAGATTTAATAACTACTGGTTATTGAAAAATAAAGAAGGACAAGTTTGACTGGACAATCTATTATTCAGGATGAGGCAACAGCAAATAAAGGAGAAAATTGAGTAAAGATAGACATTGAGGCAATTAGAATTTTTTGACAAGTAAAGTCTTAAAGTCTGGTTATTATTTTCATTTTTCATTTTTTCTACATTCGTATATGTGCCATTTACCGCCTCAAAAGGAAAGAGCAATTAATAGGCTAAATGCTATTTTTTTCATGGATAATAAGGAACCATTTGGACGAATATGATCATTTCTTTTGAAGCTGCTGTTTGACTTCAGTGCTTTAATGTAATTAATTTATCTAAAAACAGTTTTGTTGTATACAAATTTGTGCATACAGAGACTGTATCAATGTACAGTGTGTGTGTTTAAACTTTCATATTTGTACATATACAATGAATGTGTGTAAGCAAAGCTATGTACAAGGTTGTGTATGTGAGTTGGTGTACGTTCATGTGTAAATGCGTTTGTACATAATTTGCGTCACAGTGTCTGCTGGTGGGTGTGTGCCTTGGATCTGATCTGAATGGTTAAGGACCGGCAGCACAAGCATCTTTTGTGTGCAGACGTTTGTAGTGGGGTGAGTAACAGCGTGACACGGGTGATTAGCAATACAAAGCTCCGGTACTGCGCCATGACCTGCACTAGGGAAACATCAACCCTTTCCTGTGCAACTTCAACCTCTTCTTCTGCTCAGGGACCTCACCAACCGCAGGTAAACATCAGCCAAATACCAACCATATCAAAGTACTAAACCTACCAATTAAACCATGTCATAATCAACTACCAACCGTGTTCAATCCAGCAACTCATTAATCAACAAACTACCAAATCAGTCAAGTCAGCAGCGAAACACCCATTGATATGGTTGAACTAAATATCTGTTTTTGAAGTGAAAATGTTCTGCAGTATCTCGGGACTTGAGGCACTTTAGTGGATTTCTGATGTACATGTATGTTTATTTCTACACTGTTAAAAACAAAGTTTCCTTATTGGCATTGATGGTTCAATGAAGAGAAAAACCTTTAACACTTAAGGAGCCTTTCCATTGCACAAAAGGTTCTTCATAGTCCAAAAAGGATCTTTAGATTAAAACAACAACAACAACAACATTTTATACTAAGAAAAAAAAGGTTCTTTGGCACTGCTGCAAAAAAAATAAATACATTTAATTTTTATTATATATTATAAAAAATTATATATATATATATATATATATATATAG